GACCTTATCTATGTAATCCATCACCGATCATGTTGTCCACCATTATATCCATTTCAACCAAAGATATTAGAGATGCCCAGCACCAGAAGCTAGCTAGCATGTCTTCTTCAATCCTTTCAATTTTATTTTTATTCTTTTGGTTTTCACACTTTGGCTTTGTGGTATATATCCTCAGTTAGATTACAACTTTATCTACACTGTCATCCTAAACCCTGAACCATAAACCCCGAAAAGCTGAAACTATACGGGGAGTATTATATATACATGGCTTTCGACAATGTGTATATATGCCACAATTCTTTCTAGAATACAACAATCTATGACATACGTTACATACATAATGGTAAAAACTTTCTAAACTTTTAAAGAGAAAGATGAACCTATCACATCTAATATAGTTTTAAAAACTAATTCAAGATAGGGAGATGTGGTTCCCCGTTATAAACATATTTGATATATTTCATGTGACTCAGTTAGAATTTAGAAGCCAATAATTAATCTTCAAATGTAATTCGGGAGACCCTACAATTGGGATGGTGGGTTTCTTTAAATTGTACGTCTTTTCCTTGCTCATAAGTCACCAAAGTATGTAGCTATAGGAAGGAGATTAACTACCATGGGGTAATTCAATAATTGAGGCAAATTTCATGGTGTATTTCACATGGCTGGTCTTAGCTAAGTCCGATTCCTGGCGTTGGTGAATCAAACAATGGTGGCAAAGGAGGCTAAACTACCTCTATGAGTCTTCCTGGCCCCCGATAGGGTAGGCTGTCGTGACTTCGCCACTATCTAGTCCCTTTTTTTTTTAAGGAGATTATGAAATAAATTTATAATGTATGTAGCTCACAATTGCATTAGTATACAAGAACGGGATGCATCTAACTCATCTTAACTGAATTATACATACAATATTACGATCGACTACTACATGCAATTGGGTTATCATACTAACTTGATCATCACTCACACTCAAAACAATCGAGACACGACCAAGTGGGGCACTAGGGATTAAAATGTATCATGTGCCCTCAGACCCCCGCCACTATATATACTCCTACTCATGACAACACGAATGGCGTGGTGGCAGGTGGCAATCAAGTAAGTTTACTAGTGTATTCAAAATACTATCACGTGTTACTATTTTACTTGTTCCGCTCGAATTTTAACATGTGGATTGAAAAAGTCCAATCAACGAGAGGTGAGACATATCAACTCTGCCTTTCATTCATATTATATAATACGCTAAATAATAGCACTATATGACGATGCTTCGAGGGATACACACAAAAATTTCGTGGCAAACAGGCAATGCAAAATGTAGCTATTTAGGAAGATGATGAAGGTAAAAAAATAAATTTAGCAGTACTTTTGTGAGTGATAAGGGTAGATAGATGATAGAGATGCATGGTGGCCATGCACTTAATGTAAGCGGTCAGTAGTAGTGAAGGGAGATAGAGAGATTTGGTTCATCTCCAACGTCCAAACCTCATCCATGAAGATTAGAAGCTCTCGTTGACTTAGATTTCCCTATCACATTTTTCAAAAGAGGCACTAGGGGGTGTGGTGTGGGGGTGGATATATCATATTCATATAGTTGTGGGATGGTGAGGTGTATAAAGCAAGGCAGTTCCAGAGTTGTTGCCCATCATGTCTTCAGCTTCGTTAGTTAAGAGCTTTAACCTCACCTCCTCCACTCTCTTTCCCGCTACCAGCAGGAAACCTAGTTGTATTTCTGCCAGGATCAGCACTTCTTCTTCTCCTTGTAGATCTCCTCCCCCTAACCTCATCCAAAACAAGCCTGTTACCTCCGTTCCTGCTATCACTCGGGTACTCTTATCTCTCTCTCTCTCTCTCTCTCTCTCTCTCTCTCTCTCGATCCTTCAACTCATCATGTGTACATTACTTTCAAGTAGTGTATATGACAATGTGACTGGCGACTACCTATGCTCTTCTACATCGAAAATCTGACAACAGTCGCTGATATAATCCGTTGCAAGAATGGAATGGGTAAAAGGTCTACTAGCAACCTGCAAGTAATATCCAACGATACAACCACTAATGTGCCTTTTACCTATCCCATTCTGCGCCACTGAATGCTCGTAATTATTGTCAGTTTTTCTTGTAGTGGCAGCCGCTTTATGTGAGAATAATATGTATTGCCATTGTTTGGAACTTTATTTATCTCTTCAACAGTATTTATGTCTGATAGCTCTTTGGTTCACGTGGTAAAACTTCTAAAGTATAGAACGATAATTAATTGGTAGATGGAACTCTACTGGTGTACAATACCAGCCTCGAACACGTTTGATTATACATATACACATCATCATCTATCATTAATCAGTGTTCTTATCACTCAACTAATCCTCTTCTTATCGGGATGACGTGGACGCTTTTCATTGATTCAACATCCTTAAAAAATGACATGTGTATGGTTTGAACCAAAATGAATGAAAAGGAAAATTACACATGTATGGTACTAATTTTCCCTAATAAATATTTAGGTGAGATAAAAGGGTATAAATTAATGTTAAGATATTATTTGCGTGTGTGAAAAATAAGTAGAAGGAAGAAATGGCAAAGGAGTACGAAGAGGCCATTGCATCTCTCCAGAAACTTCTCAGTGAGAAGGAGGAGCTGAGGGCTGAAGCGGCTGCGAAAGTGGAGCAGGTTACAGCCCAGCTGGCGACGGCCGAGGCCAACGGCGCCACCAAGCCTTATGATGCCGCCGAGAGGCTCAAGAGTGGCTACATTCACTTCAAGAAAGAGAAATACGAGTATGCTCTCTTTTCTTGTTAAATATTAAATAGAGGATTAAACGAGATTCGCTTTCAACTGACTTCATATATATGAAGTTGCATGCAGACAAATTAATAACCATTTTCTTCCTTAATTTAACAGCAAGAATCCGGCTCTTTACGGTGAACTTGCCAAAGGACAATGGCCCAAGTTTATGCTGTTTGCATGCTCGGATTCTCGAGTCTGTCCATCACATGTTCTGGATATGCAGCCAGGAGAGGCTTTTGTTGTCCGCACAGTTGCTAACTTGGTCCCACCCTATGATAAGGTTTACACATGTCCTCGTCCTTTTCTCTCTTTTGTCACAAGAAAATGTGGCTTCCCCTTTGTGTGTCCCTATACATACATACATACATACATACATACATACATATATATATATATGTTTTAATTTAGTTTTGTCTGTGTTAATAGACTAAATACGCTGGAACTGGGGCGGCCGTTGAGTATGCTGTCTTGCATCTCAAGGTAATTAATTAATCCATGCATTTTGGTTTAATTTCTTGGTTTTGTAATAATTAATCATATTTAGCTAAATGCTGTTTTCATTACTAATATTAATTAATCTTTTGTATGTAATATATGTATGTATAGGTTTCATACATAGTGGTGATTGGGCACAGCGCCTGTGGAGGAATCAAGGCACTCTTGTCTATTCCGGAAGATGGATCTACCCTTGGCACGTAAGCAAACAAGCCATTCTTTATCAGCTTAGGGTTGTTTGGAATTGTTCTTAACTTGTTAGAAGTGCTTAATTTCTGAAGAACCACATGTTAGTTGCTCCAGAAAGCGCTTTTACAAGCCAGAAACACCTTTAACATTTGCTGTCAAACGTACTCATAGCTGTTTTTGGTTGTTAGAAAGTTTACTTTCTAGCTCTGTCAGAAGCAACCCCAAACAAAAACACTTAATTATTTTCTTAATTATCAAATGATGGGAAATTAACATATAAACATGTGCATGCTGGATCGATGCATGGATGATGCAGTGACTTCATAGAAGACTGGATTGGTATCGCATCGCCGGCAGGGAAGAAGGTGAAGGCAGATCATGGTGCCGATGCTCCTTTCGCTGATCTATGCGGCCACTGTGAAAAGGTAAGTACGGATATAAGAATCCATGTACTTAATTACTAGTTAGCGCTGTATTAATTTACTAACTGACTGAAACGAGTGCAGGAGGCGGTGAATGTATCGATCGGAAACCTGCTGAGCTATCCGTTTGTGAGAGAGGGTTTGCTGAAGAAAACCCTAGCAATCAAGGGAGGATACTATGACTTTGTCAACGGACGTTTTGAGCTCTGGGATGTTGATTTCAGCCTCAACCCCACCTTCTCCGTATGATCGTAATCACATTCCCATGCAACTCAATTGCTTCCTGTTTGTAATTTCCTTCTTAATTTCATCTGCAGCGTCGTCTGCAAATGTAATCGTATAATTTCCTTGAGATTGTAATTACATCGTTTGCGAAAAAATAATAAACGGAGATCCACGTTGGCTCCTTCGTTCATCATTTCACATGCAAAATTTATTTAATTTTCCGGTTTGAATTTCGTTTACGTTGAGAAGACTGCAATTTTGTTGTTTGTTTTAGCCACGGTGACTACCGTAGTGCACAGGAAGCTGTAGGGCATATGGGAGGAGACATTTTTTAAGGTGCCGAAAATACGGTTGGGTACGCAATATTATAATACAATTGGTGTACTGAATTGTGTCTCCGGCATACTGAAAAATCTGAGAGAGACAAGTGATGAATCATATTAATTAATTACACATATGACGATAACTCGGACCGGGTTTAATTATATTTAGAAGTTTATAACATTCCAGGTGTATTCAATTAGAATTAGAATTTAAAGAATTTGGAAAAGTTGAGAAATTAGAGGGAATTGGAGAGACTTTGTAGTGTATTTTAAGCATCCACAAATCTCACATCTTCCTATGAGATTTTGAGGGAATTGAATCAAAATTTTACATAAAATCTCTACAAATTAGTTAAACTCTATAAAAATTCATGAATTTATAAATTCATTAAAATCTCTCAAATCCCCAATTAAATACACCTCCCTTAGTGAGCAATCTGTAAAATTAAAAAATAGGCTGAAACCAAAAAATGCAATAGTGATAAAAAGAAGAAATCGAAATATTGGAATTACCCATGGGCTCTTTTGCAGTTGAGGACATATTTGGGCCGTATCCAACTATTAAATAAGCCTGACCCATTTTATTTCCATGCTTTCAGTACAAAACCTGGAATTTGATGCTTTTAGTGCAACCCGTATCCGACAATAAATAAACCCGACCCATACACACATACAAGCATAGCTGTAGCGTTCAGTTCTGCATCATAAACATGGAAGATTCAACTGCCATACATCAAAGGATCAATTGTTAACTGAAAGAGTTTATGTACAAGACCCTTCCATAAGACTATCAATACACAAACAATGGCAATATGTCCTGTTTTTTCGGTTTACTGAGAATTCATCAGATCAAAGGCGATCCGTCCCCATACTAACTGGTCATGTCTCATGTCTCGTCGGCTTTTGGTTCAAGTATAACAGGGATTTTCTCCTTATGATCACCACGCAACACCTCCACAATCACCTGAGTCCAAAAGATTACATTGTAATGTTGAAATGCGAAAAAAGGCCGAAGGGAGAAAAGTGCGTTTGTGCTAGAATGGTTCCAGATTTTTACAGGCTAGTTGGAAATTAAAAGGGACAGTGTGATATGATAAACGAACATACCTTATCGCCCACTTTACACTGATCGAGAATTCTATACAAGTCGCTGCCATTGCTGATCTTTTTTCCGTTCACAGATGTTATAATGTCACCCAATATGAGTCTACCATATGCGTCACGCTTGGTTGGTAGCAGTCCCTGCAAAATTGAGGTTCATCAGCTCCCTTTTAGTCATTTTAACTAACAAAAACAAAATTATTTCTGTCGTACATGAAACTTCGAATACAAAACAGGAAAGGAGAGAATACCGCTTTGCCAGCTGGACCGTTAGCTGGTGCATCTAAGACGAGCACTCCACTAACCCCCAACTGTTCAACAGACTGATCAGGTGCAAACTTAATCCCTAAAATAGGTCTAGTGACCTTCCCAAATTTGACCAATTGGTCAACAATACCACTTACCTGAACAGGTAAAAAGTTAAAATGTAAGTCAGAAGTTTTATCTCAAAGCATGTTAATGAAGGAATGTCAAAAGAAGGAACTTCACATGATATCTACTCACCGTGTCAACTGGAATTGAAAATCCAACACCGGATGATGCACCAGATGGAGAATATATAGCTGTGTTTATCCCGATAAGCCTTCCTGTACTATCTAGAAGTGGCCCCCCACTGTTACCAGGATTAATGGCAGCATCTGTCTGTATAACGTCTTGAATTGGACGGCCAGTAGCAGCAGAACTAATTTCTCTACGAAGCCCACTATTACAGAAAGAATGCATCAGCAAGAGTGTAGAATGAGAAGGAACCGAAAACAGACCACTGCTGCCAATCCAAACATGTCAAGATAGAGTTCATGGAATTTGTACCTGATAACGCCAGTGGTAAGAGTATGGTCAAGCCCAAACTGCAGAGTTATATAAAAAGGAAATCAAATTGTCAGTTAGTTCAACCATTTGCTTAAAGCCATAGCGAAACCCTTCACAGAATATAGTGAGTGAAGGATCATGCAATTATAAGCCCTGTTACAAGGAGGAGATGTTCCTTCATAACCAAAACCCAAAGATCATTAAATGTTCTTAAGCTTATTCAGCCTCTGTTTGATAGTAAGCACAATCATGTTGGTAGAAAAGATGTGTAAAATACTGCACTTAACTTATTATCTACCAATAGTTGAACTAAATGAGTATCAAGTATCTTAGTTGTATTTGAAAGAAAAAGATAAGCATAGTGCAGAAGACAGGATGAAAGTAAAGTAATACTTACAGGATTACCGATAGCAAACACTTTCTGACCGACAAGCAAGTCTGCAGATTGACCAATCGGTATGGGCCTTAGTTTCTCTTTGGGGGCATCAACACGTAGAACAGCAACATCCTTGTCTTGGTCAAATCCAACAACTTTTGCATCATAAGTAGACTGATCAGCAAGTGTGACCCTGTAAAAAAAGTAACAGTGGTATAGAATACAATCACAAACCATGAGAAGTGCCACTGTCAAAGAATCGAAAATGAATCTAACCAAAATACATTTTGAAACGACCAAATGAATAATTAGCTGAATTTGTTACCAAAGGGTGTCCCATGCACGACCAGAGAAAAAGCAAGTATAATGAAGAATGGCCTTTAAGAAGAGTGAGGTGATGAAGGCGCTAAATATGGAGAAACAAATCTAGTAAACAGACATACAGTGGACTCAATCCCATTGGTGGCAGAAGCGTTTCCAACATATACGAAGGATTCAGAACCCAATGAACTAAAAAGAGTCTCAAAGCTTCAAATGCAAATGCAATCCATTTACATCTTATAATCCTGGACTCTCCAAACTCCATAAGTCTAATGACATAATGCTTATGTTATGGGCAATCATGGATGCAACCCATATCGGTAAATAAGCTGCAAACTTCAGCAAAATTACAACGAGCTTATCATTACCGAAGTAGGTTAAAATGAATAGAGAACTCATAAATATTTAACGCGCTTTGGTTAGCAATACATTTGATGCTTAGGCAAAGCAGAACCATATTAAAGAATCACACTTTTCTCATACCACAACCAAGTTACAATGTCCAAACCAAACTTCAATGCAACAAAAAAAATTGATGCATTTCAACAAAGAACGACTCAAAAACCAACTAACCTGAGATCGGAAGCACCACGAATCACGTGGTAATTGGTGACAATGTGGCCGTCTGTATCCCACACGAAGCCTGACCCAGACCCCTGCGGTACCTCAAACACGTCCAGAGTAAACGCATCCTGCCTAAAACCCACAAACACCAATCACTCCAAAATCACAATCCAACCACAACCCAAAAATCACAAACAAAACAGATATCGAAAATGCAGACATGGCGGCTACAGCGAATGTGCTCTCCATGCACACGAGTTCGAATCCCGCTCTTGGCAGTTTAGATTGATTTAAAGTAGGATATAGCTTGTACATAAAAATTAATAGAAGTTGAAAATACTTCAAAAAGGGCCCAATTTCTCAGCAAAATCCAAAATGTTCAAACTTCAACTATACCTGGCTGCAAGATTGGTGATGTAAACAACAGAGGGAGTGTTCTCCTGAAAGAGCTGAACCGTGGCGAGCTCATCGGACTGCAGCTTCCTCGGCGGAGTGACTACGAAAGCCGATGCCGGATCCACATCGGCGATGAACAGGGAAAGCGACAGAGCCGCGGAAGCGCAAACAATGAGGAGAGATTCGAAGACCGAGGAGAACGGGTTCTTGGTGGCAAGCAGAAGCTTGTGGAGGCACGGCGGGCAGGAGAACTTGTGCGGCGGGATCAAAGACCGCTTCTGGGTTTTGTGGTGGAGGAGGGAGAGGATGGGGGAGGGGGAGGCTGAGGCGGCAGGTTTGTGGCGGGAGAAGGATTTGGAGAGCGGGAAAGGAAGGAACTTTCTGCATGGGGAGCGAGAAAGTGGAGAAAAAGAGTGGAAGTTTGTGGAAATCAGCGAAGAAGAGGCAGCCATCTGGTTTTTTTTTTTTTTTTTTTTTTGGAAAGCTGCCTGAAGGGATTGTCCGATTCGATTCCGGTGATATTTATATCCAAGCAAAAATTATATAACGAACATTGTGGATTAATGTAGATTGTCCTGTAGCGATAGAGCTTGTTGGGGCTTGGGACCCTCTCAATGCAAGTCAGAGCGTCCGTTTACGGGATGATTTATATGAAACGAATTTAGCATGATTGTAATAATACACTATTATTTGTAAATTTTATTTTATGTATTTAACGGTAAATTTACTTTATGCAAATTAGTTTTTTGTTTAGGTGTTTTTAGAGAGTTAAAATTTTTTCTGATAATAAAAAATACTTTTAATTACCGTTCTTAAATATTTTAGGACTAGTTGGGAAGTGCTTCTAAAATGAATGAAAACGTTTTTGGTGAAATTGTTTTTGGATTCCGAAAGCAGTTGAAGTGATTTTCCAGGATTTACTTGTATTTTTACTAAGAATTGATTCCAAAAACACTTTCATAAAAAAAAATGCTTTCAACTATTTAAAAATATTTTCAAACGAATTCTTAAATTTTAGAAGTGTTTTATGGAAACACTGGTAAAAAGCACTTGGACTATTTGTAAATTCTTATTTGTAAACAAAACACTTCTAATAAAAATGTACTTTGTTTATATACAACAATATTAAAAAAATATAAAAGTTAAATTAGGGAATACAATAAGTCATTTAGGTCTCAAACTCGTAATCAATAGATTAACTTGTTTACAAATGTAAACACTGGATAAGAAAACCCGTCATTTAAGTATCGAACTCGTAATCAATAAAATCATTGTGTTTATAAACTTAAACATTGGAGCTTGGGTGATAAAAAAATATCCTCATCGACAGGTGCAGAGAGGCAATTTTATGTTGTATTATATTATTTAAACGTTAAAACTGCCGGCCAAGATGAAACCACAATCCTATGCACAAAGACTTTGTATTGAGTTTGTTTCCAAAAGACAAAAATTACAACCTGATTTGTCAATTCAGTAACAATCATCTTGTCCTCGACCATTTCTCCACATTAAGATATTCCAAGGTTCAAATCATTTTCCTAACAAACCTTCTTCAAGCCTCACATCCTTTTCTTAACAAACTACCAGGAAGTTTAAAATCCGATACAATCCAAATCGATCGCCCTAATTACTGCGAATTTCAATGACTTCATCGGATTAGATTGAATCTCAAATTCAAAATCCAATATGATAACATATCATAGAGATCTGACGTGAAAACAGAGTGTCGGCTGTCATTACGCTCTCCCCTATCCTTTATCTGGGCTTGGACGGGCAGCGTAAGATAAACTTAAACATATAATTGGTGTAAACACGAAACGCAGTTATGGAACTAAAAACAATTGATTAGATTAGTCTCCTAGGAGTCCTCAAAAAAAGGCAGCATGCATATTCACAAGACGCATGAATCCAACCTCCTATTTTATATAACCCCCCAAAGACAACAAAACGTAAAGCCGCCTAGTCTACGAAAAAGGCAGACGAGCTTCAACTTGAAACTCGACGCTTTTGAATGCTCATCTGAGCATTGATCAGTTTTTGAAAGGGAAAAAGGTCAGAAAGATGAGGAGTTACAAGATTTTCCCCAGGGGTCTTAGTTCCTTTGGAATGCCGTCGAAATTTCCAGCATTTATATCTGACTGTAGCATCGGTCTTTTTCCAACTTTCCAAACAATGCCTTCGGCCAGGTGCTCCTTATTCGGTGTCAACATGACGAAATTTGGATCAGCTCTTTGATAACTGCAAAACGGTTAAAACGATGCATTCTGCATGAGACGAGTTCATATATCTTCAGGAAGAAATGATCATTGACCATGTATACATGCATTAGAATATGAGAGCACATCTAACTATGGAAAAGAAAAAGAAAAGGCAGAAACAAATGAATGAACCTGGCTTGTCTAAGATTCTCCACACGAAGGCCAAAACCGTAACCTGTCTCCCCCACAACGTGATTTCTCGTAGCTGCAGAACTCACGTATCAGTTTGTTGTACTCATCCAATATTTCGACACACAAATTTAAATGCAAAGCAAGATTTAACAAAATCAAAGCAATACTACGTCATTCAGGTCGAAATCCAAGACAACAGAAAGAAATACAGGTTTAATGGTCCTTCATATTTCAAAGGGATCTAGTTACACATGTAGCATGTGTTTTGTTGAGCCATTTAGTTAAGTTTATAATTAGGTCATAACATTTAAAGTCTGATGCGTCTCATGAAAATCTACCAATTCGAGATACCTGAAACGCTGAATGTGAAAGAAGGTTTCCACCAGGACTTAAATGCCAATGCTATCGACGAGCTGAGAGGGCCCACCTTTCCCTGCATGGATAAAGAATAAGTGTTTCATGAACTTGATATGATCCAATATTGCAAGTACAAGGTTGCATCAAATACGCTACCTTAAGCATGAAGTTCTTATTGGCTTGCCAAGATGCAGCTACTTGAAAGGTGGAATCTGGGACATTAGGTCCATTGGTTGATTTAGGTACATTGCTTGATTCTGGTACATCGTTTGATTCTGGTACATCACTTGATGATTTGATATCATCAACCCTAAAATAGCATCACAATATAATCAATTATCACCAAATTTGTTGCATATTACAAACATTTATTATTTACCTTGTCTGCAATTCAAAGCCAAAATCGATATAATTCGTAATTCCAACTACTTCATTTTCTTCAAGGGGGTTTTTCACCTGTTCAGTGAAAGCAGTTCAAAGCTAATTAGTACAGTATATGTTAATTCAAATATAAAAACTAATTTAAAGGATATGTTCTGTAGCAAATAACAAACCGGGGATGGACAATACCCGTCTTTGGACCACCACGTGTTGATAAAATGAGGCGATGAACTGCAGTACAAAAATTAGTGTTTGAGATCCACAACGAGTTGTATAACATGCTCTCAAGTATCCAGCATTGGAAAAAACCATGCATAGATAAACTAATTTACTTCAAGTTTTGGAGGTGCTAGAAAAACTATTGAATGTCGGATAAAACACTCAAGACATGGAATCGATTAAACTTCACAAAAGTTACTAAAACAAAACGAAACAAACCTGAGAACTTCTTGATAGCTCGAGACCAAAATTGAATGATGGACTCAAAGGGCTGCTTGATCCCACTCCGTAACCGATTGCAGCACTCCAATTCTTTAAATTTTTGTAGTTGTAAGTATCTTTACTCCCATCTAGAAAGAATTAACCAATGAGATAATCATTTGAAATAAAATTGTACTAAGATACTAATCCAAATTTATCAACAACAGCTCATACCAATGTACACAAGAACTACAAACTAGAAAGTAATAGGGAAATTGGTTCTTTTAAGTATCTTGTACTATAGATATGGTGACATTCTTGAGTGAAATTTTTCTACTTCATGGAGAAAACGTATACCCAATTCTGAAAACCCACATTCAGTCCGGTAATGTTAAGGTAAGGCATCTAAGTGACTTACATTCCGGCTCATACTGCACCCCAGCTGTTAGTCTTCCCATCTTGCTCACCAACCATGCCCTTCTTGGACAATCATCTTTCACTGCATAAATGGATAACTACATTAGATAATGTTTTCAATGCGCCTTGTAAGTTCAGGTAGAAATGATGACACCAAAGTTCTCTTCCCTTCTAATATTCAGATCATGCAAAAGTGCAATCTTACATTATAAAAATAGCCATTCCCAAAAATTTACAGATGAGCCAAACATGAGTTTATCCAGCAACATTTCAAATTCTTCCCAGTTTATATTGGAGGAGTTGATAACTTACGAGATAAGTTTACTAGCTGCGCCATGATACAGATAAAAGTACATTGAATGTTCAGAACCAAAATATAGGTATCAGTTATGTATGTGTGTCATAAGCAAGAATACTCCAAGAACTGATATTGAGGTTACATACAGGAGAAGGGCATGGCAGTAGCGCCAATTGACAAGTTTGACGAGCCATATCTCAATCCCATAACACCAAAGTCTTCAGAAGTTATTCTACAAGAGTAACGAGCTCTGTCAACATTATACATTTCATGTGTATGTGCACCCAACTATTTCTACTAGGAGGTTTTCCATACTGCGCACCTTTTTTTCAGCAACATTGGGAAAATTCCAAACGCTCCCAATCCATATCTAGGGTAGTAACCACAGGCCCTCATCTGCAAAACCCTGAAGTGACGCAAAATATGGGAATATGCAAATATATAGTCCTGTTTTTGAACAAGAAAAACTGAAAAAAATCAAAAGTAAAAAACAACTCTTTTAATTCAGAGAAATGTCCTTACGGATCAGCATTTGACACGAAGAGGTCCATGAATGTGTGAGGATCATCAACATCACTGCCAAATCAAACAAATATGAAGATACTGTTTTCGATACCACATTTACGTCCAAGATATTGCCCATAAAATGCAATTCATGTACAAATACAATGGGAATCTGAATCTACTTCCAAGTACCTTTGCCAGCGGAAAAATGCATTTCCAATTATATTCTCCTCGGGTTTGTGATCGAGCGGTCCTGCAACCTAAACACATTAAGGAAACAAAAATAGCGAAAATATTTCCCTTGGCATCAAACCATCAACTTTCTAAAAATCATCATCATGAAGGATACAGTTGCAATCAAATCGACGTGAGGGTCGTCGATGGGCTTCAACATGATCATTGTGCTGAAATGACGAGCTTGTTCAAAGTAATCGTCAAACAGACATTTCAAAGCAAGCTTCCCAAACAACAAGTCATACGACGACTCCAACATCCTGCATCAAAATTATTCTAAAAATTCAAACAAAAAAAATTAAAAAAAAATCACTAAAAAAATCAAATAAACACATTCAACGACGATTTAATTGCTGCAGATAATCAAACGCCGGCCAATTTTAGCAAGGAGAGTGGCACTCCGCTCACAGTAAGCAGTGACGACCTCAAACTTTCAAGAATTCACAAAAACAAAAACAAAAAATCGAATGAAAAATAAAGAGACGTGAAGAGGATCGTAGGGGGCGGAGTTAGGGAAAAACCTGGTGCGGGCGGCGAGAGGAGGGTAGTCGAATAGCGGCGGAACGAGCACCATCGGCGGCGGTGGCTCCTTGTCCAGAAAGTTTCCCATCTCTGCCTCCTCCGGTTGCTGGCGACGACACAATGCTAGGGTTTCTGAGTACGGAATTGAAATTATGGATAAAGAAGAAGACGAAGAAATTGAAGAGATTGTTGTTTGCTTGTGATTTTGGTTTAATTTGTGAGAAGCGAAAGTTAAGGAACCGCCTGAAAAAAAAATAATAAGAAATTATAAATAAAAGTTATAAAACCGCGCCCGCTTATGTCTGCGCTCCGGACTGCTGAGGCCTAGGCCCAATTGTCTATGACCGTTTCAACGCTCCGGATTACGTGGCAGGTCCAGGTGGCACCGTGGAGGCTCAAGTGGGCCTGTTACATGAAAGCCCAATGCTCAGTTTCGCTCCATTTGTTGGGGGTCTAATGAAGGCCTTAAGGCCCAAACTAAATAAAACAAAACAAAACTCATTTTGGAAAGTGAGTTTTGAATATCTTTTTAACTTCTTACGTAACTCTGTTTAATCATGGTTATTGATTTCGTTTGATTTATTGAATCCGATACTCATAAATAAAGAAGGGTATGTGAAAAATAAAAAAATGTGTGTAAAAAGTCATTTTTCCAAACTACAGCAAGTGGCCTAGTGATAAGGATGCGGACAACGATTCTTCAATAAACAAGAAATGTGGGAGGTCTCGGGTTCGATGCTCCAAGCTGGTAAGTCTACTTGACCCTAGCCAGCGGCATAGTGAAATTTCTCATAACCTTTTCGGATCCAGAAGGGGTGGATAACCATGACTTACCACCAATTGTCTCCCTTTAAAAAAAAAATCACTTTCCCAAATATAATGTATCAATCTGTAATATAAAAGTTTTATCACTAAGTGAAGGTAGCTGTATGAATCCAAAACACCAGTGCGCTCAATTTTGCGTCATGTCTTGCGCTAACATTTTAGTTATGGATATATGCTAATATATCGAAATAATGTAATTTCAATCATTTTGTAACGAAACAAAACTGTGGCCTAATCGCATGCTGTTCCATTTCCATTCAAATGTTCTTGTCCCTATCGAATTTTCTGGTGCAAACGCCTGCTTTCTTTGTTCGGCTTCCAGAGTTCAAAGAGGCACATGTGGAGTCTGGTGGACTCTAGAGATGTCTCGCCCGGAAAGTCATTTTCCGAACATGTTTAGGTCTTGAACCCACTTATGAAATGATAATTTTCTCATATTAGGATTACGTGGCAGGTCCAGGTGGCAGCTTGGACGCTCAAGTGGGCCAGTTACTTGAAAGCCCAATGCTCACTTTCTCTCCATTTGTTGGGGTCTAATGAAGGCCTTAAGGCCCAAACTAAATAAAACAAAACAACACTCATAATGGAAAGTGAGTTTTGCATACCCTTTTAACTTCTTACACACTTCTGTTTAATCATAAATGTTGACTTCGTTTGATTTATTGAATTCGATAGCCATAAATAAAGAAGGGTATGTGAGAAGCTAAAATGTGTGTGTGAAAAGTCACTTTCCCAAACCACAGCAGTGGCCTAGTGGTAAGGGTGGACTGTGATTCTCTAATAAACAATAAATGTGGGATGTTCCGAGTTCGATACTCTAAGCTGGTGAGTCTACTTTATCTTGGCCACTAGCAAAGTGAAATTCTCCATATCCTCTTTGGGCTCAGAAGAGGTGGATAACTGTGACTTGCCACCAATTGTCCGTTTAAAAAAAATAAAATAAATAACTTTCCCAAATATGACATATCAATCTATAGTAGAAAAGCTTTATCACTAAGTGAAATCGCCTATATGAATCAAAAACACCAATGCGCTCGATTTTGCGTTAGGTCTTGCACTAGCATTTTAGTTATGGATATATGCTAATATATTGAAATAATGTAATTTCAATCATTTTGTAACGAAACAAGACTGTGGCCTAATCGCATGCTGTTCCATTTCCATTCAATTGTTCTTGTCCCTACCGAATTTTCTGGTGCAAACGCCTGCTTTCTTTGTTTGGATTCCAGAGTTCAAAGAGGCACATGGTGGATTCCAGAGATGTCTCACCTGGAAAGTCATTTTCCGAACATGTTTAGGTCTTGAACCCATTTATGAAATGATAATTTTCTCATATCATAACATTTATCCCTTTTTTTGGTTAAAATGATTTTTGAAATTGACATAATTTTTCACATTGATCTTTGAGATTGAAAATCGATAGAACTAGTTATTGAATATGTCCACAATCAATCCTTTGGGTTATTTCTTAAAAAATCTCTGTTAGATTGAGGGCATATTCGTCCAATCAACTCTTCCACTTGCTTTTCTATTAAACGGAAATCTTTTAGAGAATGACTAAAATGATTAACGGTAGACAAGCTCAATAATCACTTTTATTGATTTTCAATGTCAGGAATCAAAGTGAAAAATTATAACAATCTCAAAGACTATTTTAATTGAAGAGTCAAATACTTTTAAAAATGTATTATTCCATTATAAAATTATTCTAACTTATAAAGAAGAAAAGAGAAACTCGAACTTAGATAAATGAGAACGACACGCTGTTGTAACGAGAGGGAGAGGCTAAACTCACATATACATTATAAATACAATTCCAAATTGACTTTGTTTCCTAAGTGATGGATTAAATATCCAAATTGAAGAGTTGGAATAATTTTTCATTTGCATCAAAATCAAAATAAATGAGAAGACCCCACCCACCCAATTGGGTATTTTGCACTTTTTTGGGACCTTTGGGTGGCCAATCCATGATCACTTTTTTCAAGATTATGTTTTAATGGCTCAAAATTCTCATGACTATACCACCAACCTCGCATTTCCCGAACGCCCTTTTGACCAAAGCTTTTGATCCACCGCCTCCTCAGCTTTTGAATGGACACCACGACCATATGATACCTTACCTACGAGATCATAACACCATGCTGCCATTACTTGCAAGTTCATCACAATTAGACAATACTAAGTTTTTTTAATGAGAAACAATCTTCAGACATTCAGAGTTTGTTTGCTTAATTAGAACGAGTGAATAAATGAATCATAGAAGTTAAAAATAATCGAAGTAAGAAAACGTAATCGAAGTAACTATTTCACGTGGTTAATTTGACTCATAAAGTTATTTAGTGTTACAATCTAGTGTTATTTCTCTTTACTTATATATTATTGTTAAAAAAATCGTAATTTTCAAGTATTTGATTATGAAATAAAAAAAAAAAAAAAGGTGCTTCTCACTTTACTACCGTCAAGTATCGTGAAATTCCAACTTTCATAGTTGAAGTTTTTTTTTTGGTCCCACTTTCATACATAGAGTGTGAATTTTGTGATAATTTTATATTTCCGTTAATCTTTCCGTCAAATGCTCCGTTATCTTCCTACATGCATGGCGCATACCCCATAATATTGGTACCACATGGATAAAAAAAAATAGAGTTTTAACGAAAAACTCGCGATACAATTTACTTTAATGAAAAACTACATTTTTACACTAAAAAGTCAAATCTGATACTATTCACTTTACTCTTTATTTTGTCCTTATCGTTAAAACTCAAAAATTTCAAAAACCTTTTCATTAATTTTCTTTAAAAAAAAAAAAAACAGATAAACTAAAAACTCACACTTTTCCAATTAATTTCCACCACTCTTTTCTTCTTTTTCCAAACTCACGCCTCATTGCTTCCCATTTTCTCTTGCACATTGAAATGGTATGGTCCAATTGAATTTGGATCCTTTCATTTTTTGTCCATTCTCAACTTATAATTTAAATTTTCCGTAATAAATAAAGTGAATTCGTAATCCAAGAATCTCTAATTGACAATTTTTTTATATGAAGCGGTATTTGAACTCATATTCAAACAACCAAACACATCTCCATAGCAAACTGGCCCAACTTATAATTGCAGTTCTCACACTTTTCCAATAAATTTCCACCACTCTTTTCTTCTTTTTCCAAACTCACGCCTCATTGCTTCCCATTTTCTCTTGCACATTGAAATGGTATGGTCCAATTGAATTTGGATCCTTTCATTTTTTGTCCATTCTTAACTTATATTTAAATTTTCCATAATAAATAAAGTGAATTCGTAATCCAAGTATCTCTAATTGACAATTTTTTTATATGAAGCCGTATTTGAACTCATATTCAAACAACCAAACACATCTCCATAGCAAACTGACAATTTTGGTCGAAACATACAATACAATTTGTTTTTTTTTTCCTTTCATTTTTTTAACAAATGATATTATCTACACTCATTTTTTTAACAAATGATATTATCTACACTAAAGGAGGGAGTAGATTTAACCTCACAATGAGCTAGCAGTAATTTGGTTTAAATTTGCCTTTGGCGATAATTGAACCTAAGACCTCTTACTTATAAGTGAAAAGAAATGTCATTAAACCGTAGTACTAAGTAGCGAAACCTACAATACAATTAAAGTGAAGTTGAGGACGTAACTTCGAAGTAATTATTCTTAATCACTTAAATTACAATACTTAATGATTAATTGTGTATGCTAAAGAAACAACTAAACTAACCGTTAATATGAGGACAAAAGAATTAACAATTCAGGACAAAAAAAAAATATATATATATATATATAAAAGAGAGGGATGGCTGCACATAAGGAAGGTATGGCGCCAAGTTCCACGAAGCTTCTCTAGCTACAAAAAAAACAAAAAGCTTCCACCTTTGGCCGCTGCGTCGTCTGTCGAACGTAGGGATTCTTTCCACCCTTCCATCTCACTTTCTCGTAATCTGCAAATCGCATACTTTTATTCATATGCCCAAAAAAATGGTATCGTCGGAATCCATCTGTTTGCTATAATATATTAATATAGTTTTCTCTCCTCGTCGGGATTTTAGGTTCATTGACTGAAAGGCAGCAGCGCCCATCATTCAGGTACGTTTGGTCTGCCGGAGTCTGAAGTTTTTGTAAGAACAATATATGTAAGTGTTGAGGCTCAACTGTTTGATTCAATGCCTCAATGGGTGCTTCAATTTTTGGTGGATTTGTTTGAATTCAATAGAAGTTTGAAACTTTTTGTTGGGTTTCCGAATATGGGTTTTGTGTGTCTATATATATATATATATATATATTTTTTTTTTTTTTTTGGATTTTTGGTGGGTCATTGAATCTTATGTTTTCAATAAGTTATGCTTAATCCATATGTTTTGTTTCTTCTCTTTTATTGCACTCGT